TATGCAGATCTAAATATGCAGAAAAAGCATTTGACAAAATACAACACACATTCATGATAAAACCTCCCAGCACACTAGGAATACAGGGAAACTCCCTAAACTTGATTATAAACATGAGAAAAACTACAGCTAATATATTTAATGGTGAGAAGCTAGGTTTCTTAGCCTTTATCATCAGGAACAAGACAAAGATGTCTGTTTTCACCACTCATATTCACTATCATGCTAGAAATCTTTGCTAATGCAATAGGGATCTGTTACACAGAAGTGTAATACCTATTGAATTATCAAGCCTCAGACATGTGCACGCACTTGCACACACAGACACTCCATTAGAGGGCCACATCCACTTGTTCTTAACAGAGTGAATTGTTCCCAACTCCATCCCATTGGGCAGAAAAAGTGTATGATTATAAATACTGTAAAATGGAAATTTTAAAATATAAATATAAAAGTGCATAATTATACAAACTTCAGTGTTCTTGTAAGTTTAAAAGTTTTGACAGTGCTCAGTATAGGTGGTAGCACACATTAGGACCTCAAAACCCAAAGAGTCTACTCCTCCGAGCTTGTGAGTTTAGGTAAGACCCTGTGCTCCCTACACTTAACTTTATTCATTTGTGAGATAGGAGGACTGACTGACTGATGGGGATCAAATGAGATACTAATAATTATGAAATCCCATAATTTGTACAGTGCTGAGTACTAACATAAGTTATTGAAAAAAATGGGCAAAGATTTTTATCTCCTTTGCAAATTTAATAAAACTCGAATATGTTACTCCCCTCCCCACTCCCATAACAAGCTGTACATGTCTAGGCACACAGAAAATGGACTGTGGGGGCTTTCTGGATCATTGAAACAAAAAACATGCCTCCCATAAGAAGGCATTAAAAATTCCCCTGTATGACAATGTTAAGGATTCCTCCTTTTCCACTAAATTAGGATATTACTCAAAATGATCCCCTGACTGCAGCTCACCTCAATCATTCCTTGGAAAATTGCCCTCTAAACATCCACTGCTCTTTTGGATAGTACAAATTATGTCATTCAGTCTGCACAGCAGTGAAATGATAATGGCAAGCATACGAGGTAACTTAAGAGTTTTTTAACGTGATGTTAAACAAAAATATAACCACCACCACCTGTGGCCCAAATCAATAGGAAATCTAAAGTCCTAGTTACCCATATTCAAACTCATGATCACACTTTACATGTCTTGAAACTCTGATCTATCATGAAAAGGAAGATGAACCATATCTATGCCTTGATTTTATGAGGACTCATTACTGCAGGACTGTCTATATTGTTCCCAAGTTGACATTAAACCTGAAAAGTTCCTCAGTGTTTAAGATGTGTTAGATAACAGAAATAGGAATGATCAATGATAACATCCTCACTCATGGAGGTCCCTACCCTCCACAGCGGAGGTATACAACACAGCCATAACTTCTCTATTATCTTACAGGTTGGTCATCACTTCATTTATTTCAGATCTTAATTCAATTTTTTTTTCTTTTTAGAGACAGAGTCTCACAATGTTATCCAAGCTAGAATGCAGTGCCTCAAACTCCTGGACTCAAGTAATCCCCCACCTCAACCTTCCAAAGTTCTGGGATTGCAGGCATGCATCACTGAACCTGGCTTTAATGCTATCTTAAAAACTAAACCTTTATCTTTTGGTAACCATCTCTTTTCTCACAAAACATAAGTACCAGGACTGCAAAAACATATTTGTTTCATGTCTCTATATCCATTCCTATACTTCTGCTTAATTGTGTGTTTTAAGACTACAGTGCCTGGCCTATGAGAGAAGTTTAAAAATTAGCATTAAGAGCATGGTCCCTAAGCAAAAGCTTGATGTGAACAATGACTCTTGCTAGGTTTGTAGTCTCTGAAAACCTAACTACATTTATAGGTCTCTATTAACACATGAAGGAGAAAACAAGTATCACATACTTTACTAAACAGTAAGTTACATATTTTAACTGAGGTATTTTGTGAAAAACACTAATACACTATAGGAAATATTTACATGTTTAGATAATAAGTAACAAAGATAAAAGCAGTTATACATGGTTGGGATCTGACCTCATACTCATGGAAGGCTAAACCTTATTCTGTTGAAAAGAAAAATGTCATATACCTCCTTCATCCGACAGTTACTCCAGAACCATGATAGATCAAAACAAAAACAAGGGCATTGTGTAACCATGTCTCTAAAAATAGTAAAAGAGGACAGAGTTCAAGTCATAAAGATGATCAAAACTGCCCTCTGCTCACTAATACAACTGAATTAGGTTTAACACCAAATTCTTCCTGCCCCTAGATAAGAATCATTATAATTACAAATGATACAATTAAGTTCACCTCATTCTTTTTTTGAGTTGGAGTCTCACTCTTGTCACCCAGGCTGCAGTACAGTGGCACACTCACAGCCACCACAGCCTCGACCTGCTGGGCTTAGGTGATCCTTCCACCTCAGCCTTCCAAGTAGCTGGAACTACAGATGCACGCCACCATGCCCTGCTAACACCTCATTCATTTCAATTCTGCATCCAACATAGAAAAGCATCTTACTTCACTGAATAGCAATCAAGTCACCTGATAGAAGCCCAAATCCAAAAAAACTCATGCTTTTAAGTACCTTCTTACTGATATTCCCTAGAGTCGCTTATGGCAAGTGGCTATTCTTACTACAACTTGTAACACCCCTCTCTTGACAACAGGTGTCATTCGGGTGACCTTCAGCAGTAAGGCACTAAGATGAGTTATGTTTTTGGTATTATGAATACATGAGAAATTGGTTTTGTGTAAAAAAAATTCACAACTATATTAATAAATAAGAAAAACTTCCTGAGGAAAAAAATACTTGATCTCGTATGCACATTGTAATATTGACACAGAATATATAATGATTAACTTGACAAAATTACTAACTTAATCTGAAAATCCATAACTGTGGTGGAATATTTTAATATATCCTCACAGGAGATGAAAAAGACAATAGTTGATAGTATACAAGTTATTTGAAACAGTAAAGAATTTCTAGACAACATCTACAGAAGCTTTTGACAAAAACATGTACATCATGTTCAGTCACATCCAGTGAAACATAATTGAAAACATATAAGAAATTATGTTCAACTGTAATAGGAAACACTGACAATCAGCTTCATCTGAGGAATGTGCTTGTTCTTATTCTTACACTGTAGGACTGGGTAAGTGCATTCACTGCACAGTGCAATAGAAGAACAAACTTCTATGTAGTTATTTTTGATGGCAGCACTAATAGCTGTCATGGTGGAATGAGAGACACATAGTTATTGGCAGGATTAACAAAATAAGGTGTTTACTACTTAAATTAAAACCTTAGGTAAATTCAACCTAGAGATGAGGTGAGTCAGCATCAAGAATATTCCTAACCTTGAGAATCTAAATTAGTTGCCTCATGAACATGTTAGAGTTTGTAGGAAAATCCAAACTACAATGGATCATTGAGTGGAACTCATAGAAACATTAATGGAAAATTACATCTCTGAAAACATGGCAGTCAAGCAGTTTAGTGGTGGTTCTAAGAATACTCTAGATTGGCAGAACAAAGCTTCAGGAAGATAGGATGGAAGCAGGTGTCCCTGAAGCCATTGTGTATTCATCTATCTGTCTCCACATTGCTACAAAACCTGACTGATGCCTTCTTCACTTCTGCCTTCCATATCTCCTGTAAGTAGGCTATTGGCTAATTATACCATGGAACCATAAAATGATAGGTTGTGGAAAGCAGGTCAAGACATTATCCACATTAATGTAACACAATCCAGGAAATCCATTTCTATCTAGAGATTGTATTGTCCTATCATAGGTCTCCCTTCTTAATGCAAATCTATTACCCAACTAACAGCCAGAAAGATTGACAAATAGCAAAGAGCAAAATATGAAAATAATGATTCAAAAATGAGAGTATACCGTATGATAAACTTTGCATACTCACAAATTTATTACAACTGTTTTTAGCATGAAAAACAGAATAAAGCTCCTCTGCCCTCCTCCCAACAAAACTTCTTTCATTCAGATAGATGAAATATATATGGTGGGTAAGGGATATCTAGTTACTTGCCATATAAGGCCAGTAGGAAAATCCCAACAATTACCAAATTGTCATTTCTCAATGGCCTTTTACAAAGCAATTAGAAAATATACACATACATGAAAACTATTTGTATATTAAAAATATACTTCAATTCACTCATGGATCCAACAAACTTCAAAATGGAAAAACAAAATTTTAGTAACTGACTTAATGAAAAACACTACCAACTAACTTTGTGTACTATTGCATAAGGAGGGTTTACTGAATTATTACATCTCAGGGCTCACCTATGAAAGTAATAAATAGAAATCCATAGTTGAGATACACTTTAAGAAAGAGCAACTGATAATGACAATACAAATTTATACCATTTCACATTGTGAATTTTTACGTGAGTTAATTTGCATCAGGCTTTCCCATATTGCCTACATTCATTGGATCCCTCCCTAGTTGGAGCTTTCACATGAATTTAAAGTTTCACACATAAGGGAGTATCACATGAGCATTTGTTAAAATTGAAAACGCTATTATCTCTCACTTTTATAGGATTTCTATCCAGTGAGCATTCTCACATGCTTTGTAAAGATGTCGGACAATTGAAGGCTTTCTCACATTGTTAATATCAAGAAGTTGCTCTCCAGGGAAGTTTGTTCATGGTTTCTAATTAAAACAGACAATTAAAGGATTTCCCATTTTTTTACATTTATAGGGTTTTTCTCCTGTATGCCTTATCATGGTCCTCTAAAGGTTATGTGACCACTAAAGGCTTTCCCACATTGCCTACATTGATAGAGTTTCTGTCCAGTACAAGTTATTTCTGGTATTCACATCTAGAAAATTGAAGATATCCCACATGTTGTGTATTCATAGGGTTTCTCTAAAGTATGAGTAACTTCATGTCTGCAAAAGTAAATGGGACAACTGAAAATGTTACCACATTGCTTACATTCATAGGTTAGTGTCCTGTGTGAGTTCTTTCATGTATTCTAAAGGAACGGGAACACTTGAAGGCTTTACCACATTGTTGACATGCATAGGGTTTCTCTCCTGTGTGAGTTCTTTCATGGATTCGAAAGGAACGGGAACAACTGAAGGCTTTATCACATTGTTTACATTCATAGGGTTTCACTCCAGTGTGAGTCCTTTCATGCATTCGAACAGAACTGGAACAACTGAAGGCCTTACCACATTGTTTACACTCATAAGGTTTCTCTCCTGTGTGAGTTCTTTCATGTATTCGAATGGAACTGGAACAACTGAAGGCCTTACCACACTGTTTACATTCATAAGGTTTCTCTCCAGTGTGAGTCCTTTCATGCATTCGAAAGGAACTGGAACAACTGAAGGCTTTGCCACATTGTTTACATTCATAGGGTTTTTCTCCAGTGTGAGTTCTCTCATGCATTCGAAACGAACTGGAAAAACTGAAGGCTTTACCACACTGTTTACATTCATAGGGTTTCTCTCCTGTGTGAATTCTTTCATGCATTCGAAAGGAACTGGAACAACTGAAGGCTTTCCCACATTGCTTGCATTCATAGGGCTTCTCTCCAGTGTGAGTCCTTTCATGTATGCGAACAGAACTGGAACAACTGAAGGCCTTACCACACTGCTTACATTCATGGGGCTTTTCTCCAGTGTGAGTTCTTTCATGCATTCGGAAGGAACTGGAACAACTGAAGGCCTTCCCACACTGTTTACATTCATAGGGCTTTTCTCCAGTGTGAGTGCGTTCATGAATTTGAAATGAACTAGGACAATCAAAGGCTTTCCCACATTGCTTACATTTATAAGGTCCATTTCCAGTGTGCATTATCATATGTCTTCGAAAGCTTGGAAGCGAAATGAAGGCTTTCCCACATTCCTTACAATCATAGGGTTTCTCTCCTGTATGAATTCTTTCATGTTTTCTAAATGAACTAGGAAAACTGAAGGCTTTACCACATTTTTTACATTTATAGGGTTTTTCTCCAGTGTGGATCCTTTCATGACTTCTAAAGGATGTGGGACAACTAAGAGCTTTACCACATTGCTTACATTGATAGGGTTTTTCTCCAGTGTGAGTCCTTTCATGTATCTGGAAAGTTTGGTAATATCTGAAAGCTTTTCCACATTGTTTACATTCATAAGGTTTCTCTCCCGAGTGAGTTCTTTCATGGTTTCTAAATGAACTGGGATGACTGAAGGTTTTCCCACATTCTTTACATTTATACGGTTTTTCTCCCGTGTGCATTCTCATGTGTCCTCGAAAAGTTGTGTGATAAATGAAGGCTTTCCCACATTCCTTACATTCATAGGGTTTCTCTCCCGTATGTGTTCTTTCATGTATTTGAAAGGAGCTGGGCCAACTAAAAGCTTTACCACATTGCTTACATTTATAGGGTTTCTCTCCAGTGTGAGTTCTTTCATGTATTCGAAATGAACTTCGAAAGTTGAATCTTTTCCCGCATTCCTTACATTCATATGACTTCTCTCCATATTTGTGATACCCATATGGTCTATGTTCAGTATGAGACCTCATATGCCTATTAAGAGATGAATGACACATATAGGCCTTTCCACACACACTGCATTCATATGGTTTTACTCCAGTAAGAGTTTTCTTGTTTAATTTAAGATTTGGAGTCTGACTGAAGGTTTCTCCAAGTTGACTACTTTCATTCTTTTCAGAAAGTTTCTCTACCATATGACTTCTGTAAAAATAAGCACATAGTTAGTGGATTTTTACTAATAATTTTATATAATTATTAATGATTATTGCATTGCACAATCATTAATAAGTACATTCTACCATTTTTAGGGACAGTGTATGTAATGAATGCTCTGGAAGAGTACTTGACCACCACTATTATCAAAACACTAAAATTTATAATATGGAGTTTCTTATTTCCAGATGAGCTATCTTTTTCAAATACGGAAGATCTGTGCTATTTTTAAGGAAATTCTTGGTGAAACTGTTCTAAAAACAAATATAAAACTGGGCTTATCTGTTTTGCTTACTCATTTTTCAAACTTAGTAACATACTAAGATTCTCCCATGGGATAGTGTTTTCTTTTGTAAGTAAAACTCACCTTAAAGTTCTCCCCTGGTTTTTGTGGTGATCTTCAATGTTCTGATCCTCCCATTTTTCCCCTAAAATGCAGACCCAGAAAAATCATTGAAACTATTAAAAATTATTTTAAAAACTATTAGACTCTAGGTCCATTATGAGATGTACCCCACCTAATTTATTTACCAAAGTATTCTTTTTCAACATTCTAAATCTTAGAACCTTGTTGATGAGCAAAAAATATTTGTTTTCTAATTTAGTGAGGTAATAATTTCATTCTTACCTATAGAGGCCAAATTAACAAAGGTTTCCTGCATCACATCTCTGTAGAGTTTCTTCTGTGAAGGACCCAGCAAAGCCCATTCCTCTTGGGTGAAGTTGACAGCCACATCCTCAAAGACCACTGAGTCCTAAAACATCCCACATGTATACAGAAGAACAGGTGAGACTGAGAGCACTAGGGATATATACTCAGTTCATAAAATATTCACATATAATTCTGTGGTCTCCAAACATTGATTCTAACTTAGTCATCAGAAGTCTGAATCTCTGTCTATACAAATTTCCTAAGTTTAATAACACCATGAACGTATGACAATTATTTCTATGTTTTTACTATGAACATTTCAGTCTTGCACTCCAATAACAAGACACATAGCACCTAGGAGAAATAAAATATTTCTACTTTTAAGACCAGCAATTCCTTATAAGAAAAACACTTATCTCCTGCCTTATTATGTATCATGTTACTCAGCCCATGAAATACAGGGTCGAATCTGTATGAGGTATTACTGAATAAATATATACCAACGAACTGTACATTTTTTGTTCTATCCCCATATTATACAGAGAGGTCAGGAGATCTGTGCAAATCCAACTTATAAAAACATCCAGCTGACCATGCTATCCTGAAGTATCACAGGCCATTAGAAGTAGTCACAATCCAATTAGCTAAAATTTTCTCTTAGAGAAGTACTAATTTGAACTTATTTATAAAATATTTATCACAGACTCAGTGTTTCCTCCTACTCCCTGTCCCAACTGATCTTCACAAAACTCCCTACTCAAGAGATTCAGGGATGCTTCCATTTTCAACACACACAGGATGGACATGATAAGATGCCAGAACAGCTCTTTCCCCAAAAAAATCAAACAGTATACCCTGAGTCTTGAGGAACAAGCTAAGAAGTAAAATTTTCCATGGAGGTCACTAAAACCCACAATAGTTTCATACTGAATTTGCCCATGATTACAAAATGCATAAAACACTCAGCAGTGCTGTTCTCCAAAAGGATATAAAATCCTCTTTCTCCAATTTCAGGAAGAAGTGATTCCCAAACAGCCATTCAAGACACTGTCTCAACTTCTCTCATTTCAAGCTCCCATGAGGTACGCAGTGGCATGAGATCCCAACATCTGAGCATAGGAATTTCTCAGATGAGTAATTCCTAGAAAAGCTGCTTTCTGAAAAAGATCGTTAACCTATTGATATCAATGTGAAGGGGACAGAGAAAAAGCTCCCAAACACCAATTTTGATACTAGAAATTACCTATTTGGTACAATCACAGCAAAAAACCCATACTTTTCTTGTCCAGGGTGTAAAATTAGCTGCTTAGATCAACCCTAATTACTCCTTGTACAGTGGTTCTGTGGCACTTCTTCAAAGAAAGTCCTACTACCTAGGGTGCAGAAGAGAGTTAGCATTACTAAGCCTGAGATTGCTTATACTTAGAAATGCCAGTTCACAAAGTTCACTCTTCACTGGTATCTGAAAAGTGAGAATTTGAAAAAAACCCCACCAATCTAAGTAATGAGTGGCTTAGTGTGCTAAACTGTCATACAAATAATATAGTATATTCTCAACTCCTATTTTCCTTCTTAAAGTCTGAACTTTTTACATGCTAGGCAGAGTTTGCCTACATGATCAGCTGCCAAAAAGCACACTGAGCACCAAATGTCTAATGCACTTCACTGGTAGACAATATAGCATATGTTGTCACAACTTGTTGCTTGGGGTATTGAGCTCATTTCATGTGGCTACTTAGGAAAAAATATTTGGAAGCTTGCACCTACTTTCTTCTAGACCAAATATAGCTAAGACTAATAAAGGATATTTAATGATCCTAATTTTTTAAATGTTTATTGGGTAATATCAAAGCAGAATGAAACAAGGTGAAAGTTGACACATGTTCTTAGAACAAACTCAGTGTTACCAAGATGTTACCTCTCCCAAAAACTATTTTTATAAAATTCTATAAATCCTCGAACAGACTTTTTAAAGAAAAACAACTTTTCCAAGCCTAAGGGGAACAAAAAAAGTCAAACAATGAGTAGTCTTTTGAAGAACAAGGTGACAGCATGCCTAACATATACCAAGGATTTTTGAACTGCTCTTATAATATTCCAAACAGACTGATAAACAAAAAACCAGAAAAGCATGATAAACAATAGCAATCAGATTAAAAAAAAAAAAGAGAGAGAGAGAGAAGGGTAAAAAGTCTTCAGTGGAGTGGCATTTGTATGAAAAGTTGATTAATGATAGGGCAAGCACTGTAGAGGAGTGGAAGAGACTGCTAACTTTAATATATATGGAAGGGACAAAACTATTTCTAGTTGGAGAAATACATTGTATCAGCTCTATTCCATGCACAGTAATCATTTTAATGTAGATTTAAATGTGAAGGATATGATTAAAGCAATGTATAGCTTGCCACAGGCAAAATTTTAATGCAAGAATTTGTCTCATCTAAAAGTAACCCACTTCTAAATTGGAGAGGTAAAAATATGTTACAATAAAGAAAGTTAAAAGGTAAACCACAAAGCAGGAGAATAATATCTATCATGTAATATAAAAGAATTAGTGTGCAGAGTAAAAATAAATCAAAGGGTGAGCACAGTGGCTCATGCCTATATTCCCAACTACTTTGAGAGGCTGAGATAGTAGTATCAATTGGGCCTAGGAGCTCAAGGCTGCAGTGAGCTATGATAGCACCACTGCACTCCAATCTGGGTGACAGAGCAAGACCCTGTCACAAAAGAAAGAGAAAGAATGAGAGAAAGAGAGAAAGGGGGAGGAGGAGGAGGAGACAGAAAGACAGGATTTTGACATGGAAAAATAACCAAAATATTTTTAGCAGAGTATTACACCACATATGAAAAAAGTGTATCTCTCTCCCCAATAATGAGGAACTGCCCAAATGAAATACCAAGGAGATCCCATTTCTTACAAATTAGAAGGACAAAAATTAGTCAGACACTCCCAAGAATTGATGATCATTGCAGTTATACATTAGTGGAAGAAGGGTCAATTCATACACTCCATTGCTATTTCATGTAAAATTGAACTTGGCCATAATCTACAATACAGCAATTTTTCTGCAACATCCAGAAAATGTATTGTGTATTTGTATTTAGGGATACATACCAAAATGATAGGATCAGTATTTTTCACAAGAGCAAAAAAATCAACTTGTAAAAGTCCAAACACATAATCACTGGAACGGATAATAAAATTGGATACCCCCAGCCTCAGACACTATGTAAAACAAAGAGGCAAAGAAATCACTCAAAAACCTTTTCATTTTATTTCCATTAATACTCGTGTATTGAAAGTTCAATTAAAGCTAGACTAAAAAAACACTACACATAGCGGGAAAGAATAGTTGATAAAGATATAAAGAATAATTAAAGAATTAGGACATATATGGAGCAGGATGAAAATGAAACAAAGGAGAATATCAAGAGACTAATGATTGTCTAAATCCCACTCATGAATTTTTCTTTTTAAACCACTTTACTGAGGTATGACTGACATGTAAAAACCTGTATATATGTAATGTATACAACTCAATGAGTTTGGTGGTAATACTCCTATGAAACCATCAGCATGATAAGGCCAAAGACATATCCATCATGAAAGTTCCCTCCCACTCCCATTATTTCTATTTGCATGTGTCTGTGTATTAGAAATGCAACATAAGATCTATTTTAGAAATTTTAACTGTAAAATACAGTAGTGTTCACTACAGGTCCTATGCAGTACAGATCTTCAAAACTCATTTATCTGCAGTATGACTCAAACTTTATATCCTTGAATATCACATCCCCATTTCTCCATTACCCATTCTACTGTCTGTCCTATTTTGACTTTTTCTTTTTTCTTTTTTTCTTTTTTTTTTTTTTTGAGTCAGGGCCTCACTCGGTTGCCTGTGCTGGAGTCCAGTGGCACAATCCTGGCTCAACTCAGCCTTAATCTCCTGGGCTCAGGTGATTCTTCTGTCACAGACTCCCAAGTAGCTGGGAGTACAGATGTGCACCATTACAACCAACTTTTATAGATAGATAGATATGAGGTTTCACTATCTTGTCCAGGCTGGTCTCAAACTCCTGGGCTCAAGCAATCCTCCCACCTCAGTTTCCCAAAGTTCTAGGATTACAGATGTGAGCCACCACGCCCTGCTAAGTTTAACTACTTTGGAGTACATATATAAGTGAGATCACACACCATGTGTCTTTTTGTTTGGCTTCTTTCAGTGAACATAATGTCCTCCCAAGTCCATCCATGGTGTTAAATGGCAAGATTTCCATTTTTCAAAGGCTATTTCATTGCATGTATACATCACACTTTACATGCATCTGTTCATAGACATTTAGGTTGCTTACACATCTTGGCTAGTATAAATAATGCTGCAATGAACATGAGAGTGCATATGTCTCAAGATCCATATTTCATTTCCTTTAGATAAATATGTAGAAGTGGGACTGCTGAATCATATAGTAGTTCTTTTTCTAATTTTTTTATTAAGCCTCTGTACTGGTACCTATAATGGCTGTTCTAATTTAAATACCTACCAAAAGGCTAGGTACGGTAATTCCAGCACTTTGGGAGGCCAAAGTGAGAGGACTGCCTGAGACCAGGGGTCCGAGACCAGCCTGGGCAACTTGGTGACACCTCGTCTCTATAATAAATCAAAAAAATTAGTCGGGCATGGTAGCTCACGCCTGTAGTTCCAGCTATTTGGAAGTCTTAGGTGGAAGGATTGCCTGAGCCTAGCAGGTAAAGGCTACAGTGGCCATGAGTGTGCCACTGCACTCCAGCCTGGACAACAGAGTGAGACTCCAACTCAAATAAATGAATGAATAAATAAATTCCTACCAACCAGGCCAACAGAGTGAGACTCCAACTCAAATAAATAAATAAATAAATTCCTACCAACAGTGTACCAGGATTCCCTTTCTCCAAATCCTCCCCAACACCATAAGACTATTAGCAGGTTTCTTAGGAGAAACCTTGAAGGACAAGAGAGAGCAGGGTGATTTATCCTAAGAGTTTAAAGAGAAAAATGTCAACAAATAATACTTTACCCAGCAAAGCTATCCTTTAGCAATATAGGAGTAACAAATACCCCTAGACAAACA